TCCCAGCACCTTAGAAAGATGTCTGGCACATATTAAATGCTCAGTGAATATTTGTTGAATGAATACTCATGTATGAATGTATAAATGAAGTCATAAAACTAACTGGGCTTCAAAAGCTTATCTTGTCTAGCACCATAGCTTGAAAGCGATCAAAAATAAGGTTTTCCCCTTTTTGACAAAGTAGTACCATGAACTAAAGTCAAAACATCTGGGATTAATGTAGATTCCAGGGCCAAAAAACAACAAAGAAAGAGAAAGGGAATGAGACACAAACAGCCCTTGAGTCATTTAGAGACTTATGATTGCAATTTGAAAACACATAATCTTTTCCAGCTGAAAATGCCCAAAGACTTAGAAGAGAATGATGGCACTTCGCTTACATTAACACAAATAAAATTAACCATAGGCCTATCTATTCACATTTATGTATAGAAAAGCACAGTAATAAGATAAGAAAGCTTCACAAAAACCTTTGTCAGGGCAAAGGGGACTATTTACTCTATACATTTGTATCGCCTATCTCTTAGACAACAAGAGTATATTTTTTATTTAGGCAATATAAAAATTGACAAAATAAAGCTCTTTAATCTACTTCCTCAGAGATACAGTAACCACTGATTAACAGTTTGCTGTGTATTACAGATTTTCTTCCTGCATAATCAGACACATATAGCTATAACTTTAAAAAAATAAGCTAAATGACAGGAATTCTGTTGGAAAACATACATTTCCTTATTCCTCCCCCTAAGTACAACTAAAACCCCTGTATGTTACATATAAAAATAAATGTAAGACGATCCCAAAAGGTGGAGAAAAGCGGACAGGCCAGGGACCTCAGGACTCAGTGAACAAAGTGGTTGTGAGCTCCTTGGGTTTTCTTTTTGTCTCATAAAATCCAAACTTGGAGTTAATGAAGTCGGTAACCCAAAAACACCAATGGGTGCAGACAAAAAGAAGTCCCAGTTGAAGATTGCTCTTTCTAGAATATAGGGCCAGGAAAGAGACAGCCTAGCAACATAGAAAACTTTTAGACAAAAATTACTGTATTTCAGCCAAACACCATAGAAAATATTGTGGCCCCACCCACATCCATACCCACACCAGCAAAGACCTAGACTGCCACTCTCACCAGGCTGTGAAGAGGCACCCCCAGCCCCCCCAGTCCCTCCGAAGTGTCAGAAAAGGCCAGGTAGACAGCCAGGACTTTCATCCCAGCCAGGCAGTAACAGACTACCACCAACCCACCCCATCCCTGCAGTGTCAGCGGAGGCCATGTGGGAAGCAGTAACAGGGCAGTCCTATCCCTCCCAGCCAGGAAGGAATCAGTGGAGGCCTACTGAGAAGCCAGAACTCTCAGCCCTACTCAGCAATTATGAGAAGCACCCCCTTGGGTGTCCATGGAGACCAAATGGGGAACCTGGACTTCTACTCCCATATGGCAGCAAAGAGGTGGCACATGCTCCCTTTCAGAAGCCAGCCAGAACATAAAGTTTAAATAAGATCCACAGTCTCATAACATAATACTGAAAACATCCAGGTTTCAATAAAAAAATCACTCGTCATACCAAGAACCAGAAAGACCTCAAGCTAAATGAAAAGCATTCATCATAAAAACACTTTGAACAAGCAGTTATGAGCCCACTTAAAACAAATGAAAAAATATACTCTCGCAAAGCAATAGAAGATATAAAGAAGAACCAAATGGGAAGTTTAGAACTACAAGAAAAACAGAATAACCTCAATAAGTTAAATGAAATCATTTTTGCTTTTTTTCAATGTAATGCCTAATGAAAATCCAAGTCTCTATAAACACACATAGAGCATTTTTAGTAGCTATGACATTCTACTGTATTAATGAACTATCATTTACTTTATTAATCCTCAATTAATCACATTTATATTGTTTATAATTTTTCATTATTATAACTGCACATTTGTCATTTTTACATAATTATCTGTCATTTTTAGTAAATGACATTACTAAAAATGAGAGTGCTGCGTGAAAGGGCATGCACAGTTTAAGTTTTCATATACATTGCCAAATAGCTCTCCAGAAAAACAGTGCCAGTTACATTCCCACGAATAGTGTGAGTCTACCTGATTTTTCATATCCTTGCCAACAATGGGTATTGTCTCAACGTTATGTTTTCTAATTTGATAAGTGGAAATAGTACATCCTTGTTGTTTTCATATACATTTCTTTATCACTAATATGATAAATATATTTTCAGGTGTTTAAAAGCCAAGAATAGCCTTTCTTTTGAAAATCACCAATGCAGGTCTTTTGTGAATTCTCACTGTTTAACTTAATGTAAAAGAGCCCAAACATAAGCTGGTTGGCAAATATGATTTAAATATATTTTCAACCATTTTGTTGATTTTTTAACTTTGTTGATGACCTTTTATTTTTTCTGAAGAGTTTTTAATGGGTTTAGATTTCCTTTTAGCAAATCAAATTTAACTATTTAAATCTTAGTCCCATTCAGTTGAAGTACAAAGACATCTAAAGGCTCAGTCCCAACTAGTTTTAGAGCCAATTAATTATAAATCACCACTCAGTACTGTTAAGAATCTAGAATTAGTCTTCCTGTTTTATTGAGGGGAAAGAAGAGAACACTGGCACCCATTAATTACCTATACATTCAATTAACAATAGTTTTCTCCACATGCATAGTTTCCCCAAGTGATATGATTGGACTTTTGACTCCATTTTAAAAAATGTAATATTCCATTTCCCCACTGGGATCTCACTCCTATTTTCAGCCTCAAACCTATCTGGCTAGTGACTTGACAACCTACCTTATAGCCCTTCCTTCTACTGGAGGCTGCACCATTTCCCATGTCTTTCACTGTTATCTGGAAATCTACCTCAAAATAACAAAAACTCTGAAAACTACTAGACTGCCACCTGACAGAGATTATCACTCTCTAGCGATTTCTGCGACCATGCTCTGCCTCTATTTCAGAGGATGACCTAAATTTACTAAGCTACCTTGGGTATCATAATTTGAACTGCCATTTAATTCACTTGAGCTTACTGCTCAGCTGGGATAGAAAATAAAACAAATGTGATATATTATTCCTTTTTTTCCCCTGGGCATCTGCTCTTCCTACTTACTTCTTTCCCCCCCACCAGCCACTCACAGGTTCTGGCATACTTCATCACACAAGGGTGCGTGGTTTATGACAAGCAGCACTAACAATGTCTAAAAAATAAGCACAATCACTGGAATTGTAATTTCTGTGAAAGTCACATACATGAAATCATAATGAGAGAAAAAAAGTTTAAAAGGATACCTTTTAAAAATGTGAAAGGAAAAAATTAAAACCCCTTATCTCTGTTCTCTAATGTTATTCCAGAATTTCATAGAATAAAAAACTCGTCTATAATTTTTTTAACCAGCCCACAAAATGTTTACCAGTCCTTTCCTGGGCTACCAATAAATTAATTAAAGACATATCTGACATCAATAACTACAGCTGTAGTATAATGCTTAGGGCTAGATTACATTACTTAAGATTTTTCATTTTCTTCAGTCTAACATGTTCAGTCTAACAAGTCAAAGTTAATTTCTTTTTCAAAAGTTAATTTTATTCATGTTCTAGGATACTTACATGCTAAAAAAGAATTTTTTAATTAAAAATACCAGATTGATACCTAGAAAAATAACTATATGCTCCCCATACATGTACTTAGTCAGCAGAAACCATATCCTTAGCTCAAGAAATAGAGCACAAGAGAAATAAAGCACAAGTTCATCTTCAATTCCTTGGCAATCTACAAACTATACTAGACTCAATTTTATAAAATATTAAATTATTACCATCTTGGATCAGGAAAATATACTTATTAAAGGACATTATAAGGTTAACTCAATCGTTCTCAGCCAGGGGCAATTTTGCCCCCAGAAACATTTGGCGCTGCCTAAGACATTTCTGGTTGACCCAACTGGGGAAGGAGGAGGGCCATAGCCTACTGGTATCTAAGTGGACAGAGCTAGGGATGCTGCTAAACATTCTATAATACACAAGACAGCCTCCGCAAACAAAGAATTATCTATAGTGAGGAGGTTGAGAAATTTAGAACACGTGATGAAATTTTAATATGGACTGCATTGTATCAATAATAAATGTCCTGAATTTGATCATTTTCACGTGGCTTCGTAAAAGAATGACTTTGTTCCAAGGAAATACATATAAAAGAATTTAGGAGTAAAGGAACATGTCTCAACTTACCCGCAAATGGTTCAGAAAAAGATAATATGTAAATATGTAGAGAGGAAAAAAAAAGAATGATAAAGCATGGAGCCAAATGCTAACAACTGGTGAATCTGAGTAAAAGGTATAAAGAAAATTTTTTTTGTTCTTGCAATTTGAAACTATATCAAAATAAAAAGTTAAGCAAGTATTACCATGCCTGTAAATTTCTTTTAACCAGGAAACTCGGCACAATTTCGCAGTACAGTATATGTGCGATATAGTAAATCAGCATTTTTACTCCTTTCTCAAAATAAATTACACTATCTTGAGTGGATACTTGTAAATTTGACCCAGATAGCTCAAGTAAGCATAAGCTGAAAAGTATAATTTATAAAATGCAAATTTCACAGAAAAAGCTAGACACGTTTAGCTGTCTACCAAGGATATGACATTTTTTAGTATATCACAGTAAATGCATGGCCTAATACCCCTGCATTGTATATTTCAGGTTTTCAATACACACTGGAAACTGCAATCACTTTGAACCATAAAAGATCTGAATGCAATCAATGGGAAAGCATGTATAAGAAATAATACAAAAATATTTTTAATACCCAGATTTTCAGAAGTTTAACATTAGTTCTTAACTCTTGAATCTTATCATTCCTATTTCTAGGTACTTGTTACTTAAATAGCCATTTCAACAAATACACAATAACAGCTTTGTAAATATTAACAGTTTACTTTTGGAAAGCAATAATTAAAATTTGTAAATCCAGAAAAAAAATTAGGGCACTTACAGATGTCTGGGACATACTTGACTGTTGTGTGACACTTCCTGTGGGGGACGTAGGTGGTCTTCCACTGGACAAACTTGCCTAAAATAATAAGGTCTTTATAATATGTCTATAAAAACCCTGAAGTTAGAAATTTTCTGGTATTATGATGCCACGAAACCACAATACAAGTCAAAAGGTCTATGTATGAACAAATTCATTTCATAGTCAACATAGACCAAGCTTTGACCAAACAGATTAAGAAAAAAAGAAAAAACTGAATGTTGAAAACAGAGGGACCAAAGGCTAGTCTTATTTTAATAACCACATGCACTGTCAGTTTTACTCTATAGGTCTCTGTCTTCTTTGAAGTGGAATCACCACTCCAATGTTATAAAAAGGAATTGAAGCTACATCAAGTGCCAGTGGGTTTCAGTTTCTTAACTCATATCATGAACACAATGTTATTTAAAATCACACTACCAAAAAGAAGCGACAGCTGGGGATGTGTTTGTAACAGAAATAAACCATTTTCAGGTTCACTCAACTGAGATCTTCCTCTAATAAAACTTATGATGAAAGCTCACATATGGTTTTATTTAAATAAACAGTAGAATAATAATGAAAATCTTTTTTAAAACATAAGCTTTAAATAATAAAATCATCCTGTTATCAGTAGGTATATGATGATTAGATTTTAGAAACTTGCATATGCATATTTTTATAGAGAGAATTTCCAGAGGGATACATATCAAACGGTTACAGAAGCCACCTCTGAAAAGTGGAAAACAGCAGTGGACGGTGAAAGGAACACCTCTACTTCACCTCTTCTAAACAATTTTATGCTATTTGATTTTTTAATAAATGTAAATTATCTGCATACAAAAAAAGACCTTTTTTGTTAAAATGTAAATATAATTCATGTAACCCTAAGTATTCACTGTTGTATCTAGAATTTTAAACACAAAATCGTGACACCAGTATAGCATTTCTGCAATGCAGATAAAAAGCAATGGGACAAAAGCTAGCAACAGAGTAACATATAAAACATATCCTTTTTAAAAAAATTAACTTTCATTTGGCGGATTATTTTATTTCCTCAAGTAAAAATAATCACGAAACATCTGAGAACTCTGAAATAATACCCAATGTATTTATTTTCGGTAATTATCCACAGATAATATCAAATTGGCCTCATAATTCTTCATTTGTTTCAGTCTTACCTGAACAGCAGCAAGGCTTTGAAGCTGGGAGCTGCTTAAGTGCTGCTGCTGCAGAGCTGCAGTGTGCAGCATTAAGTGCTGTTGTTGAGCTGCATACATTTGCTGAAGGTACTGAGCAGCTGAGCTGGGGGGGCGATGTAATGCCTGTTGAATTACCTGTGATAAGTCAATTGAACCAATGTCAAAACCATAACCTTAACCTTAATCTTAACCATAAAAAAAGTAGAAGTTTAAAATTTCACTACTCTAATATTCAACATCACCAAGCTTATTAACACAGTTCTCTCCTAGTTACAGATCACTAGGATTCACTAATCTATACAAATTAAAATTACCCAGTATAGGCAATTCACAAAAGAAAAAACTGCCACCAAGCATTTAAAAAGATCTTCAATCTCATTAGTAATCAAAACTTAACAAATTAAAACAGGATACTATTTTCCAACTTTCAGGTGGATAAAGATTTAAAAGAATACCACTACTAACTGAGGAAACAAATACTCTCATAAATGTTAGTAAGAAAGTAAACTGGTATAACAGTTTGGATAACACTTGGTAGAATAGTAATATAGCTCAGTGTTATCCAATACAGTAGTAGCCACAGCCACATGCACCTCCTGAGCACTTACAATGTGGCTGGTGCAATGAAGGAATTGAGTTTTTAATTTTACTTAACTTTAATTTAAATATAAAGTCATATGTAGCTAGTAGTTACTGTATCGAACAGCACAGATACATCTATATTTATTAACAAATAAATTCCCAAACATATCATAAGGTGAAAAAAGGTAGGTTACTAAATAGTATATAGAGTAAGATACCATTTTTATGCTAAAAAATCTGAAAGAATATTCAGGGAAACATTAAAAGACTACCGATGGGTTGCTAGAGTAGACGTGATTTTTATCTTCTTGTTTGTACTTTTCTTTAAATGTCTGAAAAAATGTAGAATGAGTAGGTATTATATTAATAATCACAAAAATTACAAAGCGATTTAATTTTTAGAAAATTAATAATTACTTTTTCAAATGTAATTTTTCAAATGTTTTAAAATGTTTTTTAAATGTCAGATTCCTTGTTTCAATTGCTTCAACACAGACAAAAACTATTTTACTAAAAAATTCCTGAAAGTGTTAATTACTGTAAATATTTATTAGTAAAATATAAAATCTCAGCCTGAACTTCAAAAATAGATAAATGTAGAAAGGTCCAGTATTCTAACAGGAAAATCCTTTACCTATCCAAACTATGCTCGTCCTCTGCAACCACATCCCAAAGTCACATCATGCCCACAGTGACTCTGAACAGCACAGAACCCTATTAGCAGCATCCAACCACAGTTTTCAAAGAACTAAGGGAGTAACAGAGCCATATCCTACAGCTTGAGGGTCTAAAACAGGACACCTTGAACTACAAGGCCATGAATCTCTATTCAAATTCCAAGAAAGTGTATTTCCTTGTGTTGTTTGCTTTTATGTGTTCATATTTCATCTTTCCAACTACAGATTGCTATACCTGCTACAAACCCCTGTCACAAAATCAATGTGGGTTTCTAACCCCTAGTTGCAGGGGACTATAGACCAGCATTAAGTAATTTAGAATTATAACAATATGTCTTTTTGGTCAAGTAAATCTATATATGTTCTTTTTTTGTATTTTTAAATATTTTTTGTATTATTTTTTATATATGTTCTTCTAATTCCATAACAAAATTCTAAAATCAAACCAAAATAACAAATGCATAATCTATTTGATGGATATTTTTGTCAGAGTATAGTAATTTTTTCTATTGTCAGCACAGGCTTTCATTATCATTCAATGTTATACTCATGGGAGAGATACAAGTTAAAGATACAGCACACTGTTTTTATTTTGTTCCTCTAAAGGAATAAGGAAGGTATACAGAATTCACAGGACTGAAAAAGAAAGCTGGAAGGTATTAAAAAACTACTTAGGTAGTTCAATAAATATTTGAACTGCATTTTAGGGGAAGCAATTCTGTGATCTCATACAAACTAGTGTTAGTGCTATTTGTGAGATATATCTATATCTATACATCTCCAGTAACACTTTAAAAAAAATTTTTATTAAAGTTTAGCTGACATACAATATTATATTAGATTCAGGTGTACAACATTGAGACTCGACATCTATCTACCTTGTGAAGTGATGACTCTAACAAGTCTAGTGACCTTCTATTAACCATACAAAGTAATTATGACTATATTATTATGACTACATTATTGACTATATTCCCTAGGTTGTACATTATATCTCCAGATAACACTTTGGTTTTTAATAACACATCCAGCTTAGATAAAAACTAGAGAACAAAATGGCATATTAAAATAGCACATCATCTGTATGCTCAAAGATCTAGATACTCTTCCCTACATCCCTTGCCTCAAAAAGCTGAAGAACATTTAAAACACATTCTACATTCCCAGTTTGAATTTCTGAACTGCCTGGATCTCCAACAATTCTGACTCCACCCATGGTAAGTTTATAACCCGAAACCATAAACAGTTAAATAGCCATTACTGAGATATCCACTCTACAAAAATGAATGGGAAGAGCACTATATCACAAACAGTTATTTTCAGGGTAGAATGCAACTGTGGGGCTTCTATAGACAGTAAGCAGGTGTAATGGAAAAAATAACTCATAGAGTGGTTAAGGTCATAACTCTCGAGTCAGAGAACCTACTAGCTATGTGAGTTTAGGAAAGTGATTTAGCCTACTTAAAACACTGGTTTTCCCATATGTAAAAAGGAGGTAATAATAGTATCTACTTCATAGAGGTAGAGTGAGGATTAAAAGAGATGATCCATGTAAATCATTTATCAAATGCTTGGCACATAGCAATTGTTCAATAAATATTATCGATTATTATTTATTGGGTATATTTAATGTTCTAGACGCTTCCTTTAATCCTCATAATAACTAATGAAGTAGGTGGTCTCACCCTCATTGTACAGTTTCCTGAGGCTCAAGATTATGCCTCTCATCCAAGCCTACACCGCTACTAATAATAAAGAAACTGGAATTCATACAAAGAACATGTCAGACTGCAATGCCCATGCCCCTTTTAAGCAGTACCGTATTGCCTCAATTTCCATTATTATAAAGGTTAACCAAGTAAACTTCATTTTCTCATCTAAGTGAAGAGCCCAAGACTTTTCCTAGTTAAATATCCCTTCCCTTCTTCCCCTAAAGAGCTTTAGAATGAAACTATCAGCTTAGGGTTCTTGGACCCCTTGGGTTTAAAATGAATTTCTTAATGCATCTACAGACCTGAATAGATCTCCCTAAGTTAGAGTCATTCTGCTGTTGGGCTCTAGATTAGTGTCCCACATTGTAGTAGCACTTAGAGACTTCCAGTTATAATTTTCCTGACATATCACTGTATAAGCTATATGTTTACACGTGAAAGCCCTCTCAACAGAATGATTATTAGATAAATTTTTGCTTGTTTCAGACATTAACAACTCTAACTGTACTCAGAGGACATCATTTAACTTATTGAAGTATATGAAACAACAGATTAATCTGGCTTAAGCAAAAATTAATGACATCCTAAGTCTTAGCCTACCCATTATAACTGAAATACCTGTACAGCATGTCGGTCTGAGCCACTGTAGACAGAGATCTGTGGTTGCTGCATTCGAGAGGAGGAAGTGGTGATGGTGGTTGTGGTGGTGCTACTGGTTGTTGTTGAAACAGATGTTGCAGGGTTTGGTTCACTATCCATAGCTGTACTGTGATCCTTAAATCTGGCAGATAACAAAGGGTTTGTATTGGCAAAAGCATTATCCTATGGGCTTTAAAGAATATTTTAATTCCAAATAAATAATCATCAACAGTCTAAATTTCTAAGGCCCTCAAAATACAGATAGCACACAGTCATCATAAGCACTTAGAAAAAGTACTTCACAAATATATAGTATATTTAATACTTAATACCAACAAAATTTGAATTCAAATGATTCAGTGTATGTAACTCAGATAAAAGCCTGGCCTAAAGTTTATCTTTTCACTATCGAAAGAAGATGAGTGTTTTGAAACCAAAACAGGTGATGAGAGAATACTAAACTACCTAGGAAAATAAAAACTCAGGCAACACCACAGTACTTTCAAATATTTATTAACATTCTTTTGACCATATTAATTACAAATTAATTAAAAAGTCATTCTTATCTATACATTAAATAGGATGCCTAAGGACTTGTGCTAATACGCTTAGTTTTTGGCTACCATAAATACTTTGCTTTAAAAATCAGTTCTCGGGCCGGCAGAGTGGCGCGATGGTTAAGAACTGGCTTGGGATGTCAGAGGGCCCCGGTTCGGATCCCACATATGAGGGCCAGTGACACTGCCCTCTACAGCTAAGATGCTGAACAACAGCTCAACCTGGAGCTGGGCTGCCGGGAGTCGCTGGCAACGGCATAGGCTGCAGCCCCTGTGGCAGTGGGTTCCATGGGCTACCGTGTGTAGCCAGCAGCCAGCGTGAGCGGCCAGCAGCCGCAGTGAACGGCCGTCCAGAAGCCGGCAGCTGATCTGCCTCGCCCGGGAAGAGCGCAATGATGGTGCCAACTTGGGCCAGTGAAGCAACGTCCTCCACAACTAGACTGAAGAACAAAACGACAGCAACTTGTCTGTTCTCCTTCCCCCAATTCCACAGCACTGTTCCCATCCCCCCAATTCCCCAATAAAAATCTTAAAAAAAAAAAAAGTCAGTTCTCTTAGAAAATAATAATAAAAAGAAAACACCACACTGGCTTTTTCCCCAATTCGTCTACTTTGTCCTTACTACATCTAATAACTCTGAGTAATACTTATAAGCAGAGTACTCTGACTGGGCACATAGAGAAGCAGCTGACAACAATTTGCCCACTTCTTTACAAAAAATCTTTTCCACAAAGAACTGCCCGAAATTTTGAAATCAGCATAATTATGCCACTTTCCTCAGGTATGAACAGTAAGTACATTTTTGTACAAAATTTCCCAATGTTTTGTTTTGTTTTCTCTGTATCTGAATAAATTCAAACAATATTTTAAGTCAATTTTCAGGGCCTCAATATTGTTAAAAAACTAGAACTGCAAGTAATTTTTGTAGGGTTAGAAATGCACCACAATGGTAAAAAGCACACTTAAAAATAACTGGTTTTATCTGCCTTTCTTATCAGTCTTTTCTTCTGAGAAACAAAATCTAACCCACTTCACATTAGCAGCATTGACAAGAATGTAACAAGAACACTTTCTACTTCACCAAAAGACAAAGGAATTTGGTACTAATTGCACACGCATACACTATTCCCATATGGTGTCCTCTTATGTATAAGTTTTCTTTGTTCTTTACATCATTTATGTAAATATTTATATGCTCTTCAAGGAATCAAATGTTTTAAAAATCTCAACATAAGCAGAAAAGTGAAAGAAAAAAAGTGGGGGGATGGGAGGAGGAACCTAACTCTTCACTTACTTTTATTAGTAAATGACTCATTCACCTTTATGCTTCTCTGTAGATTTTTTTAAAAGTTTCAAGCTGCCTTCATCAAATCACAGCATCATATGGTAGCTGTCCATCATACAGGCTTAGTGGTCGATAAGGTAAACTTTTTCTAAATTACTGGCTGTCATAACACTTCTGAACTGCGTACCAGTGATATGCAAAAAGCCAACTTAAATTCTTATAAAGTGCTATTCTGCTCAACCGTATCCTCAAACCCAAACTCTATAGTAAGCAGTTCAGTAACTAACCAAAAATGATCACAGAGGATCGAAATTGTAGGCACAAGTCTAAACATCGGTGCGTGGAAAGGGCCAAACCATTGAAATGCACTTGGACACCTGGCACAAAAGAACAATTTCTGTAACTCCACCGTCTATGCATAGTAATGCCTGCAAAATACAGCCGGCAGTCCTGGTGCACCAGAGGCCTACCCAGGAAACAGTAAGTTTGCGTCGCTAACTAAGCATACCATCACAGGCCACACAAGAATGTGGCCCCTCTAGGGAGGCATCAACTGCAGCCAGAGACCCAAGGGAAGGAAGATCTTTCCTTCCAGGGTGTTTTCAGCCAGACCAGACCCGCAGGAGCCCCCGACAGTCTAAGGCCGGCGCTGGGACACCTCCTCCACGCCTCCCGGGGGAGGACGGTGTGCAGCCCCACGTCTCGGGTTCTCCCACGGAGGGGTGGGGTGGCGCCGGGATCGGGAAGAGAGGAGCGCGAAAGAGGCCTGGCAGTGCCCGCCCAGCCCTACCCAGCCTCCGCGGGCCCCCGGCGCGTGCAGCCGTGACAGGCTGCCCGCGGGGCCCACTTGCAGGGATGACAGCCCCTGAAAGGCCCACAAGAGCTCATCACCCGGAAAACCCCAGCGGCCGGGCTCCCAAGGGTGACCCTGCGCGCAGGGCTCCGCTGATCCCGCACCAGACGATGGAAGGGGCGCTCACGCCCGGAGGTTAACTGGACCCTTACAGTTCGCCTCCGCCCCCGATATGGGCCAAGAGGGCTCCTCCACACTAAGGAAGCTCTGGGGTCTCCCTTTCCCCCACACTGCCCGCGAAAGAGCCCTGAGCTTTCCCCCGGGGGACGTGTCGCTGCCCCCACTCGCTCCCCGGTTACGACATCAGTCACCAGCAAGTCACTCACTCCGCTTCCGCCATCTTCTCTCCTCCATCACTAACACGGGCTGCGCATGCGCCCCCCGGCGGCGGGCGGAGGGGCGGGGTCGACTCAGCCCCTGGGCCCCAGAGGTCACGTGGGGTCATCAGCTTCCAATCCCCCCTCCAAACTCTGGCTCTGCTGACTCTAGGAAGTGACCAAGTTCCCCCAATTTAGATACCAGTGTCTCACCTCCAACCCCTCGGTTTCTCTTACCTAGGTTCTTACTGTTGGGGAGAGGTCTGTAATAAAGATATGAAAAGTTCTGCTTAGACAGTTAAATTAAAAATTTGAAGAACATAAATACTAAAGCCTATGCAAACTGTAAAGAGTGAAATGAAAGAAAATACCAATAAGATTGGATGCTTAGGTCTCCTAGGGAAATGAAATGCCCTGGTGGCTGCAAGGCTTGTTGCCTGGGACGCATTGGAGTTTCAGGGTGGGAACTAGCAGTCCTCTCAGGCTCAGAGATGGTGTTCTGGGTGCGAGTGCGGAAAAGGTTCAAGAATCATCTTGATTATCCTGTGAATATCATTCATGTCTTTGACATGAATTTACTGAGTGCTTCGTTGGAATTACAAAACTATTATAGAATACCATAGACTGGGGGGCTTAAACAACAATTACTTCTCCCAATTCTAGAGGTGCTGTCAGATGTGGTGTGTGGTGAAAGCCCTCTTCCTGGTTTGCAGAGGGCCACCTTGTTTGCTAATGATGTTTGCAAACAAGGAGCGACTACCAGTTTACAGTTTAATGTGTGTGTGTGTGTGTGTGTGTGTGTGTGTGTGTGTGTGTGTGAACTATTGTAAGGCAGGATGAGACAAACATATAAAAATGAGTATAAAAAGTCTCTTTCTTCCAAGAAGTCTTAATCTGGAGTGTGGAGTGGGTTTTATAGAGATAGCTGCGCAATCTAATAGGTGTTCTGAAACATCCATTAAGTGCTTTGGAAACCTTAAGTTCAAGGAATAATAAACCTTTACTGCCTTTCACAGAAAAAAGCATAGTGATCACAACAGTGTCTTCTTTTTGCATTTCTTAAGATGGTGGAGTCACACTAATTTCAAGAACTGAGAAATGAAGCACTGGTATAAATCTATCATAAAGTGTAATGTGGTCTAATGAAAAGTATACTTAATCTTAGAAATCCTGCATTCCAAAGTCTCCCTAGAGAGGGGAAAAGAACGCTTCCTATGTAAGCTAAATTGTCCCTTTACCTCCTCTCTTCATCTCATAACATCGTTTCTTTATCTTATTTTCCTCTCTGAGAACAGTGCCCTTCCTACCTCTCCTAGGAGAACTCACTAAGAAAGTCCCCTTTGAAAGTCCCTGTAGATGCTTAAAAATAAGATATTACTACTTTTTCTTTCATTTTTGACATGCTCATATGATATCATTGTCATTCAACTCTCAATCAACTGTCCATTGGTATTGCTTGAAATTTTTGTTAAGAAAAACAAAAGTGAAGAAAGCAGTGCTATATATCAAGATGGAAAATGCATAATTCAAAGGACTGTTTGGAATAAATGGGCCAAAATTGTTCCTTTTCATCTCTCTTTCCCTTAAATATCTAAGGCCTGTATCTATATTGTCACCTTGTACAGATTGGCTTTACAAGTCAGAACATGTTAGGTAAAGTCAGACCCATATTGCTTTCTAGAAACATTTCAGAACTCCAACCCTAACCCTTACCTGACCATAAATCCCTACTCTGACTGGTGGACCACAGTGATGTTTTGGGTGTCCTGGAATTAGTGTCAGTTCAGAGCCAATATCCAGTAGTCTCCAAAAGGTCTGATTATTTCCTTTTCCCCCATGCACAGTTATCCTGGTAAAAGGCTGTAGGTCCCTTTGATGAAAGCTGGAGAAAGATTAACAGTATAAATTTTGGGGTAGTGTATCAGTGTCCTGCCACTTGGCCCTGCCACCCAATTACCCTTATTGCATTAAGGTTTCCCAATTCAGTGGCTGCAGTTCCCACTGTAAGTTCTGACCTACAGAGAAGAGTGATCTCAGAGCTCTTCAAGGATGCCAGGGCTTCCCTCAGAAACTGCCATGGACTGAATGTTTGTGTTCCCCCCAAATATGTTAAAGCCCTAATCCCTAATGTGATGGTATTAGAGTCTTCAGGAGAGGTAATTAGGGCATCAAGGTGGAGCCTTCATAAAGGGGATTAGTGCCCTTATAAAAAGAGACATGAGAGAGATGTCTCTCTCTCTACCATGTGAAGATACTGCAACAAGTTAGCCCTCTGCAAACCAGGAAGAAGACTCTCACCAGACACCACATCTGATGAGCACCTTGATCTTGGACTTCCCAGTCTCTAGAACTGGGAGAAATAGTAATTGTTTGTTGTTTAAGCCATTGGTCTATGGTATTTGTTATAGCAACCCTCTTTTGGGTGTTCTGAGACCCAATTTCCAATATGGAGGGTTGAGGGTGGTTCCCACACCAACAAACTATTCTTGGATACTAGCAGGGTATGCAAGTATTCAGCTCAATTCTGACACTATCTACCCGGAGATAGCTTTAGATTCCATAGGTTAGGGGTTCAATTCTACAAGACTGTCCCCTCAGCCACACTTCAGATGCCAGTCGAAAGCCCAGGCTGTTACCGATGCTTCTGACCAGTAAGCAACAGATTGGAGATTTCAATGACTCCCTCTTTGGACTTCAGACTCCAGTACCAAGTCTAGGCTATTACCTGTGCTTCTAACCTGGCTATAAATCAGAGGTTCCCACGACCCCCTCCTCTGGCTCAATTAATTTGCTAGAGCAGCTCACAAAACTCAGAGAAACATTTTACTTTACTAGATAGCCAATTTATTAAAAAAGGATATAGCTCAGGAAGAGCCAGATGGAAGGGATGCATGGCGCAAGGTATATGGAAAGCAGCCAAAGAATCCAAGCCCTCTCCATGCACACTACTTTCCAGCACCTCCATGTGTTCCACCGTTCACCAACCCGAAAGCTCTCCAGAACGCTGTCCTTTTGGGTTTTGATGGAGATTTCATTACATAGTTATGTTTGATTAAATCATTGGCCATCGGTAATTAATTCAACTTCCTGTCCCTCTCCCCTCCCTGGAGGCAGGAGTGGGGTGGAGGAGGCATGGGACTGCAAGTTCCAACCCTCTAAATCACATGGTTGAATCTCCTGGCAACCAGCTCGCATCCTTCAGTGGGGGTCCAAAGTCACCTCATTAACATAACAAAATAATTTTATTGCCCTTATCACTTAGGATATTACCAAGGTTTTAGAAACTGTGCCAGTAATGGGGTGGAAGACCTAATACATATTTTTATTATAAATCACCATTTCACAAGCCCAAACTGACTCACACAAGCCCACAGGCCAAATACAGCCCACTACTTGTTTTTGTCCAGTTCTCAAGCTAAGAGTGATTTGTACATTTTCTAATGATTGGGGAAAAAATCAAAAGAAGCATAATATTTGTGACAAGTGAAAATTATATGAAATTTAAATTTCAGTGTCCACAAATAAAGTCTTATTGGAACATATTCACACTCATTCATTTATGTATTGTCTATGGCTGCTTTTGTGCTACAGGGCAGAGCTGAGTAGTTCAACAGACAGACACTACAATGGTCCACTTAATATCTGTCTCTTTACAGAAAAAGTCTGCTGGCCTCTATTCTATGTCACTGATCACCCTGTGCTGGACACTTTCAGGGTAGTTAACACAGCACACACTGTCTTATGCCCCAACTAGCCTGTGATTGCCCTCATAGGATCCTATGTGGTGAGACAAAAAATCCAGTAGACCCAGATTGGAATACTGGGCTCACTGCATTACCAAGTGAGCCACCTTGGGAAGTGCTTGAATTACTTCAAGTTTTAGATTTAGAATGTGAAAAAAGGGGTGATAACAACACCTTACAACACTGTTGTAAAGTCTTAAAAAGTGACGTGTAAAATCTACAAAAAAGTCCTCTTTTTCTTTATTTAACTTTTTATCAAGGTCTTTCTTTACCTAGATTTGCTCACTAAATTTTATTGAGTATGGCTAATGAACAATAGGTTTTAAATGCTTGTTGAGGGAATGATTGCTTGAATATTTGGATGAAGGAAGCATAATTCCAGAATACCTTGTAAATTGGAATGACACAATGTATAGATGTGCTTTGTCTTTTCCTTGAAAGTACTATACTAAAACAAAATACTTTTACTAAACCAAATACGTACTATTGAAACTGAAAGGACAATCTCTAGTCCTGCCACCTCTCCTGTACTCTAGCAATAATCGGCATGTTAATCATATGCTTATCCATCTTATCTGCCCTTGTATAA